TTTGGCTCCGTGTATTCTGTAGAATGTAGGCGGAATCCAGGCACCATTTATGCTATGAAAGAGTTAACAAGAAGTAGTTTACCACATTTTATTGAAACCGAGTTACGCGTTCTACAGCGTTGTGGAGGAAGTCACAATATTATCCGAATGCATGCAGCTCATAGAGAACGAGATCGAGTATTCATTGTTATGGATTATTTTGAGCACACATCTATCAAAGTACTTATTTTACTCATATGTTTCTGCACAGGTTTTAAAAAACTGAATTTGTTTTTCTGCTCTTGTGGTGTCAGTTAGTGACGTGGTGTTCTTCGACAACACATTTTCCACTTCCTCGGTATTTCTTTTATATTGTAATTACTTCATTGTTTTTTCTAGGAAATGTTAGCTTCACTTACTACCCCGGAAATAATTGATTATATGAAGAATTTGTTGATTGCTTTGGCTTATCTACACAGGAAAGGCATTATCCATCGTGACATCAAGCCTTCAAACTTTCTTTACGATAGGAAGCGAAGCAGGTAGCATCTGAGCATTTTCCTAAATTTTCACTTGTCTTATAGCATAGGATTTCGGTGGCTTACTCAACAGATTTCAGGTTTGCATTAGTTGATTTTGGCCTTTGCGAGGATATAAGGAGTGCTAGTAGGGGAAATTATGGACGCCTTAGAAAGCTTAATGTAAGCTACTTGTCAAGACTACTTTTTTTTAATCTCTGTTTTTCTAATAACCATCCGAATGCACATCAGCTTCGGAGAAATGTAGTGAATTTCTTGAAGCTTTTTTTGTTTCAGATCCTTTTTTTGAGCGATTTTTCACTACCATAGTTACTCAGTGTTTTTTCTTTCTAATGATTATTGCTGAATTTGCTTTTTGAAAGATTGGGAGAAAGTGTCAAAAGATGGGGAGTACGGTTCTTGAAAATTAGAACAGCTGTTTATGTGAACAAAAGTCTAGATATTATGGTTTTAAATTTCACATATTATCTTTTGGAATTTTTGAAAGCATATTTATTTTTTTAATTTATTAGGAACATTTCCTTCTTTTATAATGAAGGGTACTTGCTGCCAGTAGAAAAGGAGTGGGATTCCATAAATTGCTGTAGTAGATAATTTGACGCAAAGCCACTGGCTCAAATTTCCAGAAATAATTGTTCTGCAAATGTTCTGTTTCTGCAATTTTCTTAAGTAACTGTAAGGATTTTTCATTTATGCCGTATTTGGCATATCCCTTGGGTGTATTAAACTATTGCTGCTGTCTGTTTCTAAAGTCGGAAGATATTTTCAGGGTACTACTCGGTGCGTTGCGAAAAGGATTTGTTTGGATGTTGATGATGGGAGGGAAAATTTGGAAAATAGAGGGATCAGGAAACACGTTTATCCGCCGAAAGACATAAATGGGCAGTGCAAGTGTTATGGTCGGCCCACAGTTTGTAATATTTGCCAAAAACGCCCGAAGTTGAACGTCAACAAGGTTGTAGTTTTATATTTTACTTCTGTTTTTGTAGCTTACCAACCTTTTAGTGCAAGTTTACTTGTAGTGCTTTCTTTTTACTGCACGCTTTTGTAGGCAGGGACCCCTGGTTTCCGAGCTCCTGAAGTATTATTGAAGTGTTCGTCTCAGACTGCTACTATTGATATTTGGGCTGCAGGCATTACGTTTCTTGCATTACTTTGTCGGCGGCATACGGTTATGAGGCCTGCTGACGATATTGAAGCTTTAGAACAGATGTCAACTATTTTTGGTACTGATCCTTTACGAGATTTAGCAAAAAAGCATGGTCTTTGCCTGCTAACTGACTTGACTTATACTGGAGTAGATCTGATCAAATTCACCAAAGCAGTTCGTGACGGTAAGCTTGGGTTCCTCAAGACATTAAAATTCAATAACAGTTACTTGCTGTCAAACAGCACTAAGAAAGCTCGGGTAGTATTTCTCTGTAAATGCTTCATTATTGAGGGAGTGCTGAGATATTTCGGGTTATGACGAGTACTTATTCAGTTCTGTTTCTCAGGTCTTCCGGAAGATTCGAACAAACGTAATTGCTCAAGTTGTACAAAGCTGTTTTACAAAAATGAAAAAGGAATATGTTTGTGTAAATGTAATGAAGAGGAATCCTGGAGTCAACTTGCACCAGGTGATTTTTTCAAAGATTTAGAATAAGTTATTATTATTTTTTGACCTGCAGTTTATTGAGGTAAACAAAAGCTTTGATTACGGGTCTCGTTGTCGAAGAAAAGGGCTTTAATTGTTATAAACATTCCAAATGCCTGAAGACGTTATGCGAGTTGTTCAAAAATGCGGATGTTTTGGAAGCATCTATTTTGAGTTCTAAAGTCTCCAGTTCTCACGAGTGACGTTCTAAGAAATTTTTGGCAGATCCAGTTGATGATACTGTTGGTTCTTTCAACCCCAGTTAACAAGCTTTGAGCTCAAACACTGAAAATTTATTTTTTAACTTCATCGATGACTAATATTAGAAGCTTTCTTGCTAAGTTCTTCTATACAATAAAGTACTGTCACCTATTTTAAATTTTTTATTTTTTTCATTTTCTGATGTCTTCACCTTAAGTTTCGTCGTAGGCATTTTTTTGTAGCCCTTACTTTTTTGACTGAAATAGATCTGCTCTATCTTAATCGTCTGGTTTTCAGTCTTTATTTCTCTGCCACTTGGAGGATATTTTAAGAAAAAAATTGTTTATTGGGCATGGTTTTCTACTTGTAATTCTCGTTTTTAACATTTGCGAGCCGTGATATTTGTGTGGGCACTTTTTCGTAACTCTATTGAAATATGTGTACCCTACGGACATTCAATGCAGTTTTTTCAGAAGAGAGGCAGATTTACGGTGTCCTCACGAAATGCTTGATTGTTGATCCGGAAAAACGTTATACTGCCGAAATGTTAAGTGGATATTTTTGTTAATTTGTGTTCTTTCAGTATTTTTCTACTCCACACTTTTCCTCAGTAAATGACCATTTTGGCTGCTAGGCTGGTTAGAAATTTTTAAACAAATTTTAGTGGATTCGACGGTCTTAATTTCTAAGTTACCATTCCTTTGCTCAATACGTGGTGTAGTCTTATTTTTATCACTTTCATGTTGTAGCAGTAGTATTTATTCCTTCGTTCATCTGTTCGATTCGTGAGTGGGAGTCAGAAGCAAGATTAATTAGGCATGGTTCTGGCCCTGAGTTGCAAAACTTATGTTTCTTTTGCCTTTTGGCATATTAGTTGCAAAGTTTTGAGGTAGTATATTAAATTACCTTTTATTATCTGTGACAAATACACATAAGTGTTCTTGCATTTCCTGTACAATATTTTCTACAAACATTGTTGTAATTGGGAACCCGTTGAAAAACATTATTGAACTTGATTGGATAAGTCGTTGCAGTAATTAAACACCGTTGTTTTTGAAGGTTCAGTCTTTTTTCTTCGGGTCAATTTAAGGAGTCTGCTTCGCTGCTTGAAGTCTCCATCAATTTCTCAATACGATTCGCCAAATTACTTACTTGTACAGCCTTCATTCTTTCGCACTCATATTTCTTATACCATAAGCGGCCGTCGAAGTCAATAGCTTCTGCATTGGCACTGCAATTTTAATAATAGCCTCCGTGACTGATACTGTAGTTACTATATACAGCGCAAGAAAAAAAAATGTATTATAGCGGCTAAACGCAATGAATAAAACTGGCATATGGGGAATAATAGTTATTACCATTTTGCAATCTCCTTTTGTACGCGAGTTGCAAAGTCGTGGGAAGTCTCATCTTGCAACATTTTCATGGGTGGTAAGTAATAGACGTCATACACTATGGCCCAAGAGGTAAATACGCGGAGAAGATACTCCCAAAAGTGATCCTCACTCCAAAAAGAGTCTCCAAAGCGAGGTGTTTGCCTTAAATCAGGTCACTTTTTTCTTGCACTCAATTTTAGTTTCCACAGAGGATTTTCCCAACCTTATAGCTATAGGATAGATCGTAATTCCATTTTCAAAGACAGCTCTTCTGAACTGTAATACTCTGGTGTTATTCGTGCAATATCCTTCGGGAAAAAGCAATACAGGTCCGTCTCTCTAGAATAAGATGACATTTGCACGGGAAACTTCAACAACATCTTGATAAAATGTGCGATTGAGATTCGATATATCTGTGGTTTCTAGAACTTCGCTGCTAGGAAGAACAGAGATCACATAAAATAGCGTTTGTAAGCCACTCATTTAGATCAAATTGTTTAATAACTTGGCCTAAAAAAAGTACACTTACGCGTCCTTCCCGGATTACTTCAGCCATAAATCGCGCTCTGTCTTCAGCGCTGCCCCTTTCTAGCCATAATGCTGGACAAAGGTTCTCGACCAAGGATTCTATTGCCCAAATAATACCATTGTGTTTTTGCCCAGTAACAGTATAGCCGTAGTCCGATTCTGGATCAGCATCAGCAAATATGATTTGAATGTCATTGGGAGACAAATGGTTAGAAACTGCTATTCCTTAAACTACAGCGTTGAAATTTCTAAGAAAA